TAAAAGTAGATTTAAATAAATTCAAAGATAAGTTATTTTATTCAATTTAAAAATTTAAGTTAATTAAACAAATCATATATATAGATTAAAAAAAATTTTTTTGAACAATTTTAATTTACTCTTTAAGTAATATTCAAGTGACTGATATTTTATAGATATTCACATAAAATGAATATATTTATTGAAATTGAAAAATGATAAATTAAATTAATTCACAGATGCACATTTACAAATTTTAAATATAATTATTATAACCAAAATCATAAACAAAAGGTTTAGTCTTTAACCTAATTTTCTATATTTTATTGTCAGAGAGTGGTACGTTAAAATTAAACCTAAAATTATAATATTATTAAACACCATATTAAAAGCGATTTCCTTACTTTCAAATGATAGTACCTACATTAAACTCTAAATCGAAAAGTCTCTCAGTGTAGTGACAATAAACAATTTTATCAACAATTCGAATAGCGTTGATGCAAATTTGAATTAATAGGTGATCAATTGTACCACAATGTTATTCTTTTCTTCTGTCCTAATCCTAAATCTTGTATTACGATTTCTCATCCAGAAGTTCAAAAACTGGCTGTGGAAAGGGATTGTCTTGGCATTGAGAGAAATTCATATAACGATAATGTCATTGTTAAAATTAGTTATTTGTTTAAAACTCTATAAAAATAAATTAGTAAGAATTCATAACAGACAGAATTGGTGCCTCTTTTCTATAAATACGAGAAATTCAATTTTAAGTAAAGAAAAAGACTAATTTATTTTTCCTGTGTCAACCAAAATTTAAATTTTACTAATTCGAGATAAAATAACGTAAATAAGTGAAATGGACTAATTTTTTGATTTTTAAAATGACAGTAAATTTTCTGATTTTATTTTAGCATTTTTGTTTTCAATTTAGTTTGAAAAGTGTATAATTTATTTTAGCAGAATTTTCTTCTTCTCTGAAACGTTATGGTTCGCAATTTTAACGGACATTTTGGAATTTGAAATTTAGAATGATAGAAGAAAAACATTTTTTTTTATTAAATAGTGCGATATGTTTAACAAATTCAGCGCGGAATTCCATAATTACTAGGCAATTTATATTTTATTCCAATCAAGCTCGTTTCTATTTCTCATCAGTTGTCTGAATTCAATGTTTTAATTATTCGAGTCGTCATCAACAACCTTTCGGTCGGAGAGCCAAGATAAATTAGAAATAAGTCATCATCAACGACGAGTCGGAGAGCCAAACTTCAAATTTATTTAAAACAAGGAATTCTTATTTTCTGATGAGAGATAGAAGAATAAGCGAGTAGTTAAAATACTAAAAACCAGTGTCTTAATTGATTAAGTCGTCATCAACAACCTTTCAGTTGGAGAGCCAAATTCTTAGCTTCTGTGAGACAGAGGTTCTTATGTATTTTAATTAAATTTTCTTGTGTCAAATTGCTGAGTAAAATACTGAGTTGTATTACTACAATTAGTAAATTTTGAAAATAAGATGGTAAAAAGAAATATTTAAAGGTAAGAAGAGAAATAAAATAGAGAAACTGTATTAACTAAATGTTAAATTTTGAAAAATACAAAATGGTGCCACTGGTAACAAATGTTACCAGGTAACGAAACAGGGCGGTAACGCGTAGGAAAATCCCACCGCTGCCACCATCAGCTTGTTGCAAACCAGAATTTATTTAAAAAAAAAAAAAATTTATTGTTTAAAAAAAATTGAGCTTTTGAGATGGTTCTAAATTCTAATTTGGGGAGGCACCAAGCTGCCAAGGTCTGAAGGACCTTGTTTAATTTGCGAGAACGTTATCCTACTTTTAAAAGAAACCTGCGAAGCTTCGTTTGATTTATAAATTTAATTCTTTGACTTTAATTAGTTCAGGAGTTTTAAAGAAAGTAAATCAGATTTAGTATTTTACATGACAACATTTATTTAAGCATTATTTCAGAACAGAATGCAAAGGAGTTCACAAAACTTGCTAATGTTTGCGTTGGAGGATATAAAAATTTGTATAAAGATTCGACATTGGAACAATACAGAATTACTTAAGAATATTTTCTTAATTCTACCGACAGGGCATAATTCCTTTGAGACAGCGCAGGTACTACACGTACGGACTGGCCGGTTGAGGAACAGGGATCCTCCGTCGGGCAAAACACAGTTGAAAAGGTTGAAAATTAAGTCTTCTATGCGACTAATTTTCTTTTTCACGAACTCGCGAATTTTGTAAAGAAGAGAGTTTTCTTTAGTTTTGTGGGACCACTGAACCTTTTAGACGGCGCAGGCGCTACGCGCACGGACTGGCCGGTTGAGGAACAGGGATCCTCCGTCGGGTATATGTATAATTATGAATGCAAAATACATATACTAGTAACTTATAAAATGTCGGACCAATATAACGTTATTTATACAACTTATATTAAACACTTATAACTATAAATAAATTATAATTATAAATAAAAAAATTCTTTCTTTACAATATAATTATAATTTATATATTTAGTTATAAAAAAATTGTTTCTGATAAGTATCAAATTAACAACGCCGTTTCCGTTCTCACGAAAACTGCATGCAATCAGAAACGTCAGCATAGTGCAAAGTCCAATGGGCCTGAAGAATTTCCCTACTTCTAATTCTAAAAATCCTTAGTTGACAAATTTACCCCACTTTGACATCAGGACAAGGAGTAGAGGCTTGTTGCAAAATTTCTATCGCCGCTGTACAATTTTCCTCTTCAAGCGATCAACACCTGTCCCGGCTACGGCCTGGCAGATCTGTTGATCGCAAGAAAGTAGGAAATGCCGAGACTAAGCCCGTCTGCGCGTCGGACCCCCGTGTAGAACCAGCGAAATATCTGGTATAATACAAAAGGCGGACGAAAAAATAAAATAGAATCTTCTAATCGACGGAGTCCAGTGCGAGCTGTGTTGAGTGAGGTTTCAGTTAATTAAATATTAAACAATTTGAAAATCTTGTTTTTTTTAACGGGCCAGTCCGTACGTGTAGTACCTGCGCCATCTCAAAGGAATTATGCCCTGTCGGTCGGATTAAGAAAATATACGTAAGTAATTCTGTATTATTCCAATGTCGAATCTTTATACAAATTTTTATATCCTCCAACACAAACATTAGCAGGTTTTGTTAACTCCTTTGCATTCTGTTCTGAAATAATGCTTAAATAAATGTTGTCATGTAAAATACTAAATCTGATTTACTTTCTTTAAAACTCCTGAACTAATTAAAGTCAAAGAATTAAATTTATAAATCAAACGAAGCTTCGCAGGTTTCTTTTAAAAGTAGGATAACGTTCCCGCAAATTAAACAAGGTCCTTCAGACCTTGGCAGCTTGGTACCTCCCCAAATTAGAATTTACATCCATCTCAAAAGCTCAATTTTTTTAAACAATAAATAAATTCTGGTTTGTAACATCCAAAAAATATGCCGCTAATTTCGACAAAGTAAACATTCCTTTGCCTTTTCGTGCAGGAAATTTTCTTCTAAACAATTTCAGACTATCGCAAAATCCATAAATGATTTTTTGGAATTCCTGTACTAGTGAATGTTTTTGAATTTCACGAATTAAAAAGGATACGTCAAAGGAGGCATTGTGGGCAATAAGTAAACACACCTCTGAAAATTTTGTCAAAAATTCGCAAATAGCTAATAATGCATCAAGCATAGTAACTGTATCACATTTTTTACCTTTTAAGTATAAAACGTTATCAATATTTTCTAAGCCATTAACTTTCGAAGCTTCTTCATCAATAGGTTTAGTTGGTTGAATAAAAACAGAAAAAGTTTGTTCATCTACTTTCGCTGCTATTTGTAAAATATCTAATGTTTTATGCCGTCCAGATGTTTCTAAATCAAAAAATATAATTTTACAATTTTCGACTAATAAAACTGAATTATTGTTAAGAGGAGTGAGATCAACGGATTGGGAATTTATTTCAAATGAAATATTTTCTTCGTAAGTAATTCCTTCCTGACTTTCTAATTTTTTTCTTAAATTTTCTCTTTTTTCAATGAGTTCTAATCTGCGTTTCTTAAATTCGTACGTTTTTTGACTTTATACTTCTTTTTACTCTAATATTATCTACTTGTTAACAATATTTCTCCAAAAGTTCACATTTAGGAAGATTAAGTCTGCTTTTTACTTCTGTTAAATAAGCATTCCCTTCATTTTTTATAGCAACAGCTGAAGCAACGCGAAAATCAGCTAAATTAGTCGTGCTATAACTCTTATTTTTTGGAAGCTGATGAGATATAATATTATTCAAGGACTCGTTGGCTTGACTAGAAGCAGGAACACAATATTTCGAAGCATTATTAGCATAAACATTAAAAATAGTTTTTAATTCTTCATATAAACTTCTATCTTTAATAACAAATTTTTGCGTCGCAAGTCAGGGGTTTGCCTTATTTTTACTTCTACACCATGACTCGCAGTTTTCATGATTGTTATGTAGATGATCTGGTATACACCTAACAGCTGCTGCTAATTTGACTGCATTAATTCTTCGCCGACGTCCGCTTCCCTGGCTTTTGCGCTGCCTTGGTAGTTTTTTCTGCAGTCATGTTCCATTGCAGAATTTCCCATATCGCACATACGGCACTTTCTGTTCCGCGTGCGGTAATCTAAAACTTTGCTTGTAAAAAAGCCAATAATTGAGCCATATCCATTAAGACTATCGTAGCTTTTCCCATTGCCTCTTTTACTCCATCCCATGTCGAAAGAAACAATAATATTAACAATGTTCCCTAAACTTTGGTTAAATCTGTCTACATTATTATCGCTATCTTTACTTTCTGCAGCTACCTCTTGAAGGACGAACATTTCGTTGACAAACTCGTTCCGGATGTCTTCTGGTCTAAGATTAATTAAAAATAAATTTCTTTATTATTCTTTAATATTAAATTTCAATAAAATAAGGTTTTAGAAAATAATACATTTATTTATTGTTTCCCAAAAATCGTAAGAACAGACAGTGAGCAATAATCAGTAATTGATAGTAACTTTGTAAATGACGATGTACAAATATTCGAAAAATACAATGTATTCGATAAATACAGTGTAAGAAACTTGAATCATTATTGCAGTAACAGTAGAAATCCTAATATCATTTTAGGATTACTATAATATTAAAAATTAGGATTTACAAAAAAATAAATAGAGTGACCACTTGCACGGCAAACTAGAAAAAAAACATTTGGAACTAGATTTTGCACGACTTACAGGTCTCGAATTGTACTACTTTTTTGACTTTTTAAATAAATGCAACTTTTTCAATTTTTATAGTGTAAAATGAAACTTATTTCTGTTTCCACAGTACACTTTTAGAGATAAATTTAGACATTTTTTAAAATAATATGTTACCAATTACTTCGCGTTAAGGAAGTTAAAAAAATAAAAATAATTTTTTTACATTTTAACAGCACAGCTGTCCTATTTAGAAATGACTAATTTATTAAAACAAAAAAATATTTAAAAAAATGAAAATCATAGAAAAACTTGGTAACAAAAGAAGGATTTCATTTCATTTTAGAAAAAAGTGGCCACCCTAATAAAAAAAGTAAAACCTTACAATGCTTCACGTAAATCTTCCAATCTCTCAAGAACCAACTTTCTTTCCTCACGCGCAGATTTTTTGCAGGAATCTCGCGCAGTTTCTTCAATTGCTGGACCAACCTCTTGCTCGTATTGCCTATACACTTTTGTTGTTATATTAGGCACATTTAAACATGCCAAAATTTTATTCAGTTGTGTGCGTCCTATACCAGCATGGAAAGCACCTGAAATGATTTATACATATAAAGATTTAAATGTATTTCATACAGAAATATTCTCTCTGAATCTGAAATATTAAAAAATTAGTCACTAATTCAAATAGAAATATTTTTACTACGTTGTTAAAATTTCAAAATTGATTTTTTATTTTTTGTTATTTCGCTTAAACCGTAATTTGAACCGAAACAAAATAATTGCATTTCGAATTACGGTTCAAGCGAAAACAAGAAATTGAAAATTGAATTGAAAAAATTAATAGTCAATGTTGACTATTACTTTAGTTTTTTTACCAACAATTAGTTACTTTCTACCAATTTTTTAATAATTCATATTTAGAGAGATCAGTTAAACTGAAATACACTTTTTCCTAAAACTTTTAAGAATGATTTAATATTAAACTTTGCAATTATTTTAATGAAAAATATCGTTTTCATTTGTATTAACATTATCAACTAATAATACACGAGGAAGAATTGAAAATTATAGAGAGATAAATTGAAAATTCATTAATTACTAACTAATATTTACATATTTGATATTTATCATTTATTATCATTATTATCATTTATTGTTTCTAAAATAAAACTGTAATATTACTTTATACTTTATTTGAACATTTCTACACTTAAAGCACGGTGGTCTTCAAGCACTTTTAGGTTTACCTAAAATGAGTCAAAATTGTGCTAACGCAGTTTTATCTGGAATCGTCCCAAGATTCCAAATTTTCATTTAAGAAAATCGTGGCTGATTCTTTCTTCGAAAAAAACATATATATAGAGTAATGTCACCTTGAGTGGACCGCCTACGCTTTTTTTCTAAAAAATTCTTTATGAAAGCAAATTAATCGGAGGTTTCTACTTCAAGCTTTAGTTTAAATCCCTAGATAAGTGTTTATACCAGCTTTGATTTTTTTATTGGAAAAAACAATTGACTTTTAAAAAAAGCTAATTTTTAAGGAATGAAAAAAGTGTAACCTTGAGTCGACTACTCCTTAAAAATTGTAAAAGTTATTCTAAATTCTTTAATGTATTTAATATTTCTGATATATTGAAACAAAATTTATGCTTATGCAGCTTCAGACCATGTATGTGTCGCAATGTTTACAAGTGAAACCATTTTTAATAATTTTGTCACATATCACATCAATACCACAAAAAAATTAATAAAGAAACCAAAAAAGACAAAAAACAAAACAAAAGAAAAAAACAAAGAAAAAAAACAAAGACAATAAATAGTTTCAAACTAATTTATTGTCAATTTATATCTAAAAAATGTTAAACTGACATTAAAAATGGAAAAAACAGGCAGTCCACTCATGGTTATAAACAGTGGTCCACTTATGGTGACAAACAACTTTTTATGGCAGCCACCACAATTTTTTTTGAGTCAAAATTATCACTAAATTAAACTAAGACAATCAATTTCAATGTCCAAAGCAGTAGGAAAAACATAAGTTACCTTTTAAAACTTAAATTTTACACTACTTTTACACTTTCAAATCACTTTACTCATTGATAGAGTGACTTCTTTTTTGGTTTGTGTTCTCAAAAATGCGTTACATCAAACGGTAACGTATATGATTATCGCGGAACCTAATTTCTTACGGTTTCTAGGTGCGGTGCTGCTATTCGCACTATTTATTTCACGTTTCAGCTGTCAGATAACTTAAAAGCTCAGGCTGTCCACTAAAAGTGACATTACCCTATGGGAAATTCCACGTGAGATTTTAGTCGACAGTGGGATTTTTTTTTTTGAAATAAAATTTAATTGCTTGTATAAAATTTTATTATAATATGCAGAAATTTTAACGAATTATAACATTTAACAACCTATGCAATTAAAATTGACAAGTTTGGTGAATGTGTTGTTTTTTGTTTCTTCCTCCTCCATGTGGACATATTTTTTTTGATGAAAACTAAGTTCGGATATATATAAATTTGTGTCTATAAGCTCTGGAAATTTTATATTTCCCGAACAAGTTTCTGGTTTTTTGTTCTGTGCTTGGTGATACATACATCCAAAATGTCATCGAACGAGGATATTATGAAAGTTCTCCGAGTGATCCAGGAAGATGTCAAAGAAACTAAGGCTAGGATTATTTCTGTGGCTGATGAAAATAAGGAGTTGAGGACGGTAACAGATAAAATCTCAGCAGATCTGTCATCTTATAAAGAGAAATATCGTGATCTCGAGTCGAGGAACAAGGTACTGGAGAAAAATATGCAACTGTGCTTAGAAAGACTCGATCTTGTTCTAAATAAAGAAAAAGCAAAAAACCTTATTTTATATAAAATAAAGGACACCGCTATTGAAAACTCTAATCTGCTTGCGACTGTTAAAAAAATTTTCGAAGAAGCAAAAGTCACTATCGCAGATGACAAAATTGTGAAAGTGATTAGATTAGGTAAAAAAGAAGGTGAAAGACCTATCTTAGTGTCCTTTGTAAACCCGGCATTCAAGAAAGTCATTTTTGATAATGCAAAAAATTTTAAAACATTAAATATTGCTTTTTCAAATGATCTTTCGAAGGAACAAAGAGAGAATCGAAAAAGGGAATTTGTCGAGTTGCTGGAATGTAAAAAAATTCTAGAACAAAAAGGTAAAACATCAATTATCAAAGGAAATCAACTGGTAATGGAGGGAACCTCATATAATTTGAAAGCAGTCAAATCCATTTTGTCCAAGGGTAATTTTTTTCCGAATGACATGGAGAGTGATGGCGAAGATACCGATGGATCAACAACCTCTAAGGCATCTGTAAGTAACAGAAAAAGAGTACGTACATTAGGATCTAAAGGCGATAAAAAAGGAAGTTGGTCAAAACTTCTAATTCACTACAACCTACTACTACAATTAAGGCTTTTTTCCAAAATATCAAGACCGATGTGTCAGAGATGAAAGAAAAAGTGTAGCTGCCCCTGATGAAAAAAATCCCCGTATCTTCTTCTGGAACGTGAGAGGTTTTAGAAATCTACAGGATATTCTAGCAGAGGTCACAAGTTCAGACATCATTTGTATTAGTGAATCATGGTTATTGTCTTCACCGGCGTTCATCACACAAGTGTCAAGAAACTTCAAGGTTATTGAAATCCCAGCTGTGAAAACAGAATCGAGAGGGAGACCGAAAGGAGGACTTTTCATCGCACTTGATATTTGTAAATATAAGTTTAAGGTTTTAATTTTATCTGAGGAATTTATATTTCTTAAAATAGATAGTAATAATTTTGGGTTTATTTTGGGCATGGTATATTTTAACCCTCTATCTGATCTGACAAAATCTATTAATCAATTAAATGAGGCGATAGGAACAATTTTATTAAATTATCCTGATTTATCATTTTTTGTTGGTGGTGATTTTAACTGCAGGGTCGGTAACCTAAATCAGTTGGATGATAATTTGTTGCTTGATAATGTAAATGTTTCTAACGAGAGAGAAAGCTTGGATAAAATCATAAATAAGAGGGGAGAAAAATTGGTGGAGTGCATGGAGAGTAATGGTTGTATCTTATTAAATGGTCGAACTTTTCAAGACATCCCAGCTCAATTTACTTTTGTTAGCTCAAGAGGAAAATCGACAATAGACTTAGTTTGGACTAACTTGATCGGAATTACAAAAATACTTAATTTGGAAATATTGCATAACATTACAGCGTCTGATCATTTTCCGGCAGTCATTACCCTTAATGTAAATATAAATAGAGACACTGATAAAGATGCAATTAAATAAAAGTGGAAAGATAGATTGGGCGAGAAATATTTTGAAACAATGAGTAACTCTTCATGGATTCCACCTCTTGATTTAGCACAACAAGCGGAAAATCTAATAAAGGAAATTTTTAATGCAGCGGCAAGAGTAGGAATGATATCTAATGTTTGTAAAAATGTAACTATTTCTAAGCCCTGGTTTGATGTGGATTGTGTAAGATTTAAGGAGTTGCTCGGGGTACTTCTGAGGAACAGTAGGGAACAATTATTTGAACAGAATTCTTTATCTCTATATATTGCAAAAAAAAGGAATATAAATATTTTTTAAAGCAAAAAAAAGAAGAGTATAAGTTAATGTTAGTTTAAAAAATTTCAAAAGCAAGAGATTCGAAAATATTTTGGGAGTTAATAAAAAGTCATAGATTTAAATCAATTAATAATGAAGATGTAATTGAGTTAAAAGATTGGCATGAATTTTTTAAAGAGTTCCTTGGTAAACGCAGTGGTACGTTGAGCAATTCATTGAATATTCAAGGGCGTAATCCTAATTTAGACTCTATTATTACAATAGATGAAGTTATAGCAAGTATAAATAAATGTAAAGAGGGTAAATCCGCCGGACCAGATGGGCTCGGATATGAGTTCTTTAAAAACTTGCCATACAAATGGATTTTAGAAATAAACTCGCTTTTTAACAAGATTTTAGATAAAGAGGAAATTCCTAAATCTTGGGCCGAAATACACGTGAGAATGTTATATAAAAATAAAGGAGATAAATCTGACCCCAATAATTATAGACCAATAGCATTAGTATAATATATAAAATCTTATAAAATATTATATAAAATCTTTGTGATACAATAGTATCACAAAGATTTTTACGCAGGTACTGGGAAAAAGGCTGACAGACTGGGTTTAAAATTTAAAACTCCTTCCGGAACATCAGTCGGGATTCAGACAGAAACGTAGTTGCATGGATAATATATTTACATTGAATGCTTTGATTCAAAATCGACTCACTTTGGAAAAGGGAAAATTATTCTCGCTTTTTATTGATTTCAAGGGTGCTTTTCCATCCATTAATCATAAATTATTATGGGATAAATTATATAGACTTGGTACTGGTTCAAAATTTTTAAATATTATAATGGATTTATACAACAAAGCCAGTATGTCGATTAAGGGTAGGGGGGGGGGTACCTCGGACCCGATTGACGTTGCGAAAGGAGTTTTACAGGGCGAGGTATTGAGTCCAATTCTGTTTGCCTTATTTATTAGGGATCTCGAGGAATTTATGCTTGATGAGGGAATAAGGGGGGTACCGATCAACCACTTGGTGGAAATTCTTTTGTTGGCCTACGCAGATGATCTTGTGATTTTTGCGGATACTCAAGTACAAATGAGGAAAATATTAAAAATTCTCTATAGGTATTGTCAAAAAAATTTTTTAGAAGTGAATATTAAAAAAACAAAGATTGTAATTTTTCGGAAGGGGGGATACGGACATAAAAATAAATATAATCCTTTTGTATACGGAAAAAAGGAAATAGAAATCGTAAATAGTTATTTATATCTAGGAGTTTCCTTTTCTGAATCGGCGATCTTTGTTGGAGCGATGAACAATGCTTATAGTAAAGCAAATATTGCACTGGGTGATGTTGTGGCGCTAATAAATAGACTATATCTGACTGATTGGAAAGCAATTGATAAACTCTTTAAAAGTATAAGTACAAGTGTTTTATTTTATATGTCGGAAGTTTGGAGCCTTCGGTATTTAGAGGATGTAGAAAGAGTACAAACAACGTTTTTTAAAAAATTATTGGGAGCTCCACAAAATACTCCCGCGTATGCATGTCGTCTGGAAATGGGATCTTATAAGCTGGCCTCCATTGTATTCAAAAGAATATTAAATTTGATAGAAAAGATTTTAAATATGAAGGAGGATAGATACCCGATATAATGTTTTTTAAGGTTAAAAAGTTTAGCAGAAAGTAATCCTTTGTTGAGCAAACGCAATTGGTGTACTCAAGTAAAGAACTTTTTTGAAGCTATAGGAGAGTTAAAAAGTTGGAACTAGTTGTCTGTCCCCCTCCTGCGTAATAATAAAGCTCGATGAGCTTATGAGACTGCTCTATACGCGGAAGATTTGAAAAGAATGTATAGTTCACAATCGTTACCTATTTTTCCAAATTTGACTTGGTATGGAGGAACCCAGAAATATCTATTGTTAAATATTCCTATTAAACAAAAAAGAGTTGTAGCACAATTGAGATTATTAAATAAATATCAAACTAGAGTTTTAGTAGATAAAAAGATCTTTAAATTTAATGAAGCGGAATTTTGTGACAAGTGTGGAGCGATAATTCAGGATTGTGGGTTTCATGTGTTAATGGAATGTATATTTTATAGTGAAGAGAGAAAAATGTATATAACCGAAGATTGTGACACGAATAGAATAAGAGATGTTTGGATAGATATGCTAAGTAAAACTGATATAAGCGGTGGAAGAAAAATGTACTTATTTATGAAGAGAGTGATTGAGCGTAATGATTAATCACAATAATGTTACTTGAAAACTATTTGTACAAACTCCATTGTATTGACTTCAAGGTCATCAAACAATTAATAAATTAAAATATTTACCTAATACGGCATTTGTATTAACATCGTTATGAACTTTTGCTTTCACAAAAGTAGTCGATTCATCTGATACATTGTGTTTTTCTCCTGTTTCCACTTTTGTAACCAAAGAACACAATTTACACTGAATGCTCAACACTGAGTGCAACCCTGATCTTTTCTCTTCTTTAATATTTTGCAAAGATAAGGTGTTTTTGCACACACGGCATATCAAATTATTCCCCAAGAGTCGCAAATCTACAAGGCGAGTTCCTTCGCAAGGGTAGTTTTGTTCTTTGGAGGTTACTCTTCGCTCAGCATTTTTTTTAACTAATTCTCTTCGTTTCATTTTGTGCTTCAGCACTTTTTCTTTTATGAAGCGACCTTTATATTTCAGCTGCTGTCCCATTTTATTTTTCACATCAAACCAACTTCAAAGTAAAGAAAAACTATTCTCCATGACGAAAGTCAACTAAAACTGACCAAAACAACACTAATTCGCATGCGGTCGCATCAGCTGTTCATGCCATGTTGCCAGATCTCTAACATCAAAGCACTACGTTCTTCAAAATATTACTGTTTTTTCTTAAAATTTTAATTATTTACAGATTTTTACATAATAATGTACACAACATTATTTTAAAAAATGATCTTTTAATTTACATATTAAAATTTATTTTATATTTGAACATTTAAAAAAAATAGTTATCTTGACTACCGTCGTGAACCTATCCTCCTTAATTGATAAAAATAACAAAATAAGGTTATTTGAGAAACATAATTTTAAAACATGATATTGAATATTATTTTATTTTTTCCACAGTCTAATTAGTAAATAATTATTTATACTTTTATTAATAATTCTATGTTTTTTAATTTAATTTTTACAAGACAAAAAAAGACATCATTCTTTCGTACAATAACATTTTAGAACTTTTGCACATGGGATAATTAAAAAATAAAGTAATATTTAGGTTAATATTTAGGTTCATTTACAATACTCATTTACAATTTACAATTTACAATAGAATTATCGTTCTTAATAACTTTTTTTTAAGATGAAGGGTCCAGAAATTATAATCTATGGCGGAAAGGAAAATATGTTTAGTTTTTGATGTAAGAAGTTCTATCGATAATTTATGAAAATTATACAGTTAATTATAAAAATTGTTGCTGTAATTTATAAAAATATTATAATAATGTGAATCTTAACCCTAGAAGGAGTACGTTAATTTACTCACCCTCTAAGGAGTAACTGAGGTGTCCCGACACCCCACGCTTTAAACTTGTTTTTTAAGGTTTATATTTGAAGTAAAAAATTATTTATAATGAATTGATTGGTTTTTTAGTAAGGAATACAATAATATTATTCATATTTTGATAAATTAAAAATTTTTTGAAAAAACCATAGAAACCCCAAAAAAACACCAAAAAATTGCAAAATTGACTTTTTCACAAAAAACGTTGTAGTTTCTTAAAAATTTGACTAATTTTTTTTTATTGTTTATACTCCTGCCCTATTGGCCTTACGCACTTCGACAAGAGTCCCCGAGAAATACTTTTTTTGGATTAAGCATAACCATTCTACATAAATTTTCTATATATTAACCTAATTTGCGTCTACAGACGACTTTTATTAGGAGTACTCGCATTGCGCCTGGACCACCCGTCAATGGGTTTTCTCGCCAGAGAAGAGGGAAACTGTAGAAAACCTCTCCTGAGTACAACCGGTTTATCGACAGTCGAGTTCTAATGGTGTGTACCGGACAATAATCGACGGTGCACATCATTATACCTCGACGTCAAACCTCCCGCTCAGATTGTCTCACGTGCCGGAAAAATACCAAGCCAAGTGGGCGCGAACCAAGGATACTTATACCCTTGGTCCTTAAACGACCGCCAACGCCAGGCATCTATCCGACTGAGCTAATCTGTCGGTTAAATTTGACTAATTTAAAAACTATTTTAGGTTTTTAAAGTTAAATAGATACACTTTTAGGGGAAAATATTAGTTTTTGTATTACTTCCAAAAAACATAATTATTTGAACATCTGAAGTAAAAGAAATTAAAGACAATTGACGAATAGTAAAAATCATAAAAATTAACTATAAAATGGACTTAAGGGGTTACGCCATCCTGAACGCATTTAAATTGGACAGTTTTTAAGAATTTTTTTTTTGACAAAAATATTTAAAATAAGACATTTTTATTTTTATTGTTTCTTAATACATATTGTAAGCTATGTAAATACGAAATAGTTTTTTAAAAAAATTAAAAATAGCGGAGATACACGCATTCTAGTGCAGCAGTACATTTTTTGGTGGTGGGCATGATTGGCATTTCAATTTTCATCTGAAACAAGTAAAAAAACCATATTTTCTAATGGGGATAAATTTTAAACAGAGTGACGTAGCCGTTTTGAAAAAACAAAATTTTTACGTAAATGGCAGCACTTTAAAGTTAGATTTAACTTTTTCAAAAAATTTAATTTAATTTCAAAGTGCTCCCATTTACGTAAAAAAATTTTTTTTCAAAATGGCTACGTCACTCTGTTCAAAATTTATCCCCTTTGGAAAAAATGTTTTTTTTACTTGTTTCAGATGAAAATTGAAATGCCAATCATGCCCACCATAAAAAAAATGTACTGCTGCACTGAAATGCGTGTCTCCGCCATTTTTAATTTTTTTTAAAACTATTTCATATTTACATAGCTTACAATATGTATTAAGAAACAATAAATATAAAAATGACTTATCTTAAATATTTTTGTCAAAAAAAATTCTTAAAAAACCATCCAATTTAAATGCGTTCAGGGTGGCGTAACCTCTTAAACACTTAATATTTACTAAAAATGGTGTTAAAAATTTAAAATTTTACAAACTTAATATATTTGAATATATTAACATTAAAATTAACGTTCCCGGACGATTGTCCCAATTTAATTTTCCTAATTGCATTTTCCTAATAATCTGTTTTCCTAAAAATCATTTTTCCTAATTTTTTTTTCCTAATTTCATTTTCCTAATTCAATTTTCCTAATTGTAAATTCCTAATATATAAATTTTCCTAATGGTTAATTTTTCCTAAAAGATAACTTTTTTGAATTATGAAAATAGATATTCGTCTGTCACGATGTTCGATTTTCAATTGTTTTCTATTCGTAAATGTTTATATTTAAATAACCGTTAAGTTTGACGTACATCTTTCAAAATTAATAGTAACAATTTAACCTGTTTAATTGAATTTCTAAATTGAAAGTTAAATTTAAAAATTAATCATCATGGACATGGTTGCACGCATTGTAGGAAAAAAATTGCATATCGATGGCTACATCTATTACAGATCTAGGGTTGTAAAGAGTCGTACTTATTGGGAGTGTAGAAGAGCTAAAGGGATTGTATTGTTGAAGAATACCTAACATACAAGGAAGAAGAAAGAATTTTGAAATACCTCGAAGCCATTGCGCACACCATAGTCCTTTAAATTTTTTAAAAATAAAATGTAAAATTTTTGAATGCACAATTTTTTTTGGAAAATTAGGAAAATTAATAGAATTAGGAAAAACAGATTAGGAAAATTTGATTAGGAATTTTAACTTTAGGAAAAAGACTTTTAGGAATTTCTAAAATTAGGAATTTTAGATTAGGACAATTGGTAGGGAATCAAAATTAATAACTTATGAAATGATTCTGTAAATTAATATTTAATTAAAGTTTTAATTAACAATTCTTAATACCTCTAATATATGTTAAAAAATTATTAAGGGGACATTCCAGTTCAAAACAGTCAAAAAGAAGGCTTTTTTAATATATATTATTAAAATAACTATGCCATTTATTTAAAAAATTTCTTTTACATGTAATAAATAATTTTTTTAAGAATTTGTAAAAAAAAATTTTTTTAATTTTTATTTAAAAATGGCGGCGATATACGCCATTTTCGAAAATGCCCATTTTCAGTGGTAAGATCGATTCCAAACTTTCTAAAACAGATAAAACCAAAAACGAAGTTACATTCTCTTTGTTAGATATTTCTTTAGGTGTGGAACCTCAAAAAAGTGGAATTTTCTTCCGCCCCTTTTTTTAGAGTACTTTTTCCCCAAAATATGCAAAAAAAGGTGTTTTTATTCAGAATTTCTCTTATAAAAAAAGGGAGTTGGAAATTTTCCAGTTTTTGAGGTTCCACTTATAGGCATGATGACGCTGAATCAAAAGCCGTTTGATTTTTTAAAATCGCTTTAGAAGAACTCAAGATATTACTGTAACCAGATCAAAAATAGTATATTACATTATAAGGGCAGAAAGTTCGAATTCCGGCACTGTGCGAAATGATGCCCGAGACGAAGCCGAGGGCATCATCGCACTGTGAAGGGCTTCGCAATTTCTGCCCGTGTAATGTATACTATTTTTCTTTAAATACGGTCGAAAGTACGCCCGTTAATTTATTTTTTAAGAAAATTGCAATCGTGATTAATTTGACAGCCGCCCATCTTTATTTACTTTCGCTCCCCGCTTCAACGCCTCTAGCGGACGCTCGTGGAGCTCTGGTTTTTTCTCAGTCTCTCTCTTACATTCAACATACGCCTGCCCCGACATTTGAAGCACGAGCTACAAAAAAAAATTAAACGAAAAAAAAAATTAAAATAAAAAAATTTTCTTTTCCGCCATATTGAATCTGCGATTTTGAATTTTTAATATTTGATATCAATTGTGATCAGCAACACCAAATACATTTTTGTTTGTCTTTTTTAAAAAATGCAAATGAGAAAACATTGAAATCATTCGATTGCTTATCCGCATACAAAAACATCTTTGACGTGGCGAAAAATAAGGATGTATAACTTTTGTTTTACTTCGAATTTTGCAATAATATTTTAGGAGAGTATTCTTGAAACTATAAGAAATCCGAAAATAAAAACAAAAAAAAAATCGATTTTTTTGACATTTTGAACTGGAATGTCCCCTTAAAAATATAGAATTTATAATTTAAATTTGACTGTCATATACAACATTTTTCTGTATTAGAATCTAATTTCTGACTGTAGAGAGAGCACAGAAATTTTTAATAAATCCTAACTCAAATTTCATAAGTTGTTACAAATACAGAATGTCTATTTTTCATAAAAATAGATTTTTTGTATAAAAATGTTCCTTTTTTATAAAATACAACTTTTTTTTATAAAATACAACTTTTTTATGCATAACCTATCAATTTATACTTTATCAGATGATTTTAACTGATTGAAAACGATTTTTTAAAAAAATTTAAATTTACTTATATTGATAATTTTTCTAACGTTAGGGAGTAACTGGGGTGTCCAGACACCCTAGACGTATTTTAACAGGAGATAGAGCTCTTCCTAGAGCAAAACTTTTGGCGGCACATACAGATGTCAAAAGATAGAGGTTCAAACTAAATTATCAACGGGTTTTGAGCGTAAAAAAATTATTGCTTAAGCCATGGGAATAATTTAAATTTTGCTTGG